TTAAATATAAAAATATAATGATTAGAGAAAAATAACCATAATAGTACTTATTTTGAAGTCTCAAGTTGTAACGAACAAACACTAAATCATTAAACTTTTGGTGCTCTAATCTATTTCTTTTTTTGGAATGAATATGCTCAAATATACTTCAATTGCGTTCACAACCCGAAGCACTACAAGTTTGGCTTAAAATACGAATAGCTAACCTTTGCAAAGTTGGTGTACAAGTGCCATATGTTTCCCACCATTGATCTGTTTATACCATGTGATTAAATAAATTTATAAACATATTGAAATATAAAATAAAATATATATCAAGAGTTAGAAGTTATGAAATTACCTGCCCTCACAATATATCGTTCATCCACGGCTGATTTCCTTCCAAAATCTAATTCACCGTCTTTGAATATTCTCATCTCATCTGTTAACTTCAATCGAAGTTCAGAATTTCCATTAGTATGCTTTTCAATGACATCTAAAAGTCCTGATGTTGTGGATGCATGTTTTTCAAATTCTACATCATTATATCTACAAGCTGGATTCAACCAATAACCGGCAGCATGAAGATTTTTGCGAGCTGTGAATCCCAACGTTTATCTAAGATTTTCAAGTAAGGATCCACTTTCTTCTTATTTCTTTGAAACCTCCTCACCATCTCCTCTCTAGCTTTGACTATAAATTTGTATAGAATGCCCATAGCAGGTTTATCTTCACTATCAACAATACGCAACACACGCACAAGTGGTTCAGTGAGTTTAACTACATCAGCACATTTACTCCAAAATCCAGAATCTAAAACTTGATCCACAAACTGTTTTGCCTTTGCTTCTTTGGCATATGCTGAGCTTGTCCATTCTTTAGATGTTACCATGGCTCTTAGTGAGTTTTTGTGAGACAAAATACTTTGCAAAGCAATGAAATTAGTGGCAAACCGAGTTGGAGCAGGACGAAGGATTTCTCTTCCACCTGTTTGCTTTCTCATTAAATACAATGCATAACAATGGTTATAAATATATTTGGTAACATTAGAAGCATGTGACACTGTCTCACTTACTTCCTCTAATTTTCTCATGTGTTGCAACATAAAGTTAATGCAATGTGCCGCACAAGGAGACCAAAATAAAGTAGAAAACTCATTTTCTAATAACCTTCCAGCAGCAACATAATTTGCAGCATTATCTGTCACTATGTGAACTACATTTTCAGGCCCAACAAATAAAACCATCTCTCTAAAAAGCTTATACAGCATATCTGCAGTTTTTGAAGCATGAGAAGCATCAACGGATTTTAGAAAAATAGTACCTTTGGGACAATAAATTAGAAAGTTTATAAGAGTTCTTCTTTTTCGATCAGTCCATCCATCGACCATTAGAGTACAACTAGTTTTCTTCCAAATCTCACGATACTCCTCTATCAATTTGTTCACATCTTCAACCCATTTATTTAACAAATAGCCACGAAGACTATGCATAGTTGGAACTTTATACCCCAGACTCATGCTGCATAGTGCATCAGCCATAGATTGAAAATACGCAGAATTAGCTGCATTTGAATGACACAGAAGAATCAATGAACCATCTTGCAATAGCTAGATCACATTTCTCCACCAATTCCTTACTTTGTAACACACTTTTTAAAGAAGGTTGAGCTCCAGGAGTTGTTTTAGGCATAAAATAATTACCTATACGACTAGTATTCTTTCTCTTTTGAGACACAATCACCGAATTTGATCTTGATTGTTCTACATCCATTTCTACTAAACCACCCTCTTGAGTAGTAAGATCAACATCAAAATTTTGTGCTTGAGTCTTTCTTCTCTTATTTGCACCTTCATCAAGATTTTGTTTCATTTGATATTGAACATCTGGAGGCACCTTTTTACATGTTTCAACTTGACCTTTTATTCCAGCCAAATGAAATTTGAACCTATTAATCCCCCTCCTCTAATAATTTTATCACAGTAAATACACAAATTAACAAGTTTTCCTTTCTCTTCAATTTGTTTACAATGACCCCAAGCTATATCAGTTTTCCCCCTACTGCTCTGGAGTTGAGTTGGATTTTGAGATGTAACTTCTTCCGAAGTTATTACTTCAGCGGGTGATGCCATATCTAATATCAATCAAAATTTAAAAATACAAAACTATATTACAAAAATATTAACAAAACACAATTCTAAACAAAAATTATTGAATTTATAAAAACATTATAAGAAACATTAAATATGTAGCATATCTAAATCCAAAATATATGAATATGTTGTTGTATATTACATATAGGCTACCAAACATCGTTACTTTGCATCACCATATATAATAAAAAAATAGAAACTTTGCTTTCCAGCCTTTGCTATATATTTTAGATTAATAAAATTCTGAAACTTTTCTTTGTTATATAATTTAAATTAATAAAAAACAGAAAACTTTGTCTTACTATATAATTTATATTACATAGTTTTAAACCCAATTTCTATCTCCATAATATATACAACCACTATTACAGTAATATATATATCTATCCCAATTTCTATCTCTAATATACAACAACTTCATTACCAGTCTATAATAAGTTAATTCATAAAAGTATAAAACTGCTTCATTCATACAAATTCTATCTCAATTTGTTAAACTAAAAGACCCAATTTTATAGAAAATGATCAAATTTAATCATTTATTTTCTATATCAATTAATCAACAAAATGAAACAATAATATTCATATTGAAAAACATCAATGCAAATTAGACCAAGTAAAAAAGAAATAACCTGTTTTTGATGTTTTGATGAAATTTTTGACGGCAAACAAGGAATATCAAATAACAGCAGCAAGTGGGAGTTTTTGTTGGTAGAGAAAATTGAGAATATGACTTCAATTAGAAAAAGAAAAGATAGAATAAAAAAGAAAACCTTTCAAATGCCTAGGTTTGGGAAACGAGGAGGCAAAGCGTTTATGTTAATTTTTTTTCAAAAGCCCTAAAAAATAAAATAAATAGTCAAACCCGCCGGTTCAGTAAAAACCGTCGGTTCACTGATTTAACTGCTGATCCAGCCGGTTCACACCGGTTTCATCCGGTCTAAATGTAATTCCGGTCTTATCCCTTAATCGGACCGCCTGGCCCACCGGTTCTCGATCAGACCGGTCCGACCGGCCGGGTCGGGCTGGGTTTTAAAACACTGATTACACTACTCTGCACACGGTTAGAAAACATGTCACAAAAGAGAGAATGAAGAAAAATTGTTATTGATAAAATAAGGAATGTGATTATAGGAACCGATATCAAAGTACAAACTATTTATAATCAACAATTGACAAATAAACCAACCTTTTGGAATTAGAGAGCCTAGTCTCTCCCAAACCAATTAACCACTCAAATATTTCTTGGATATCCCTCTAACATGTGATTTCCTTATTTTATATTCACATCACCCATAACTGCCTCACAACTGTCCTATAACTGCTACAAATTATTAATTAAAAACTAGAAACTGTTAATGAAAATAAATAACTGTCTATAACTAACAATACTCCCCCTCTAAACTATCTCCTTGTGCTCAAGGTGAACACGAAGGATAACAAAAGTGTCCACCAGGATCCCATAACTTGAAGTAGAGTGATAGAGCAAGTCGTAAAACATGATAACTTATGCCTGGATCATGCACTGTGTTTTGAGTGGTCCGTCTGACCGAAAAACATAGTATGACAGCAGTAGGCATTAACAACGCTGGTTTGATCAAACTAGAGGATAATGCACCCTTCACCCAGGACTCGTCTGCACCTGGTGGCGCTAGGCTATCCAACTTGAGTGAAGCCCTTCTCTCTCCGACAATTGTTCTAGACAGTCTTGTCCTCGATTCAGACACCATACTCTCGTCGCTCATCACAGTGTTTGGTAATACCAAGAAATTTGCAAAAGTCTGCTTTTGTCACTTGCTTTTCGACGATAACATTCACGAGAGAATTTAGGCCATCTTCTACTTTTGCAATTTCTACCTTTTCCTCGTTTCTTTCTTCTGTTATCTGAATGAGACCGGAATTTCTTTGGTTTGTTTCTTCTTGTTGAAGATTGAATGTGTGAGTCGCCGATGACTCCAATTTCAATTCAAGTTCCTCTTCTTCATAGGATATAGGAAGGAGGTTTGGCTTAAAATGCCAAAGCAGCGCAACCGGAAACGTTTTCCAATTCGCTTGTAGATGGCATTGACTCCACCACTGCCACCATTTGAGAGCATAGTTTCTCAAGACTTTCAGTGCCTCGGGCAACTTCTCACTTTTCGGTGTCCCACAACATCAAAATAATTCTCAATACAAATCAACCGCCAATAGGTATCTTCGCTGCCGTCAAATTGTGGCATGTCCATTTTTCCCTATTGTGATTTTCTTGCTTCGGATTAAAACTGCTCTGATACCAGTTGATAGGAACCGATACCAAAGTAGAAATTATTTATAATCAACAATTGACAAATAAATCAACTTCTAGGAATTAGAGAGCCTAGTCTCTCCCGAACCAATTAACCACTGAAATATTTCCTGGATATCCCTCTAACATGTGATTTCCTTATTTTATATTCACATCACCCATAACTGCCTCATAACTAACTGCTACTAATTATTAATTAAAAACCAGAAACTGTTAATGAAAATAAATAACTGCCTATAACTAACATGTGATAATACATCAAGCCACTTATATGACTAATATAGAGAATGAGAAGGTAACTAACAAGTAACAACTAACAATCTATTAAGTACATATCTAATAAATCTCAAGATTGGTTTGCAACTAACTTAACTTAAAATAATTGACTTTTTGGATATTAAAAATGTTTTAGTGAACAACAAATGGAGATTGTGTTTCAATAATTCAATTTGGCAATGCTTCCAAATAAACTCATGAATGCTTGACTTGGGTGTTAATTTTGTATGGAAACTTTTTTTGTGATATCTTTTCAAAAACACTAATTTGTATATCTGAGCATTTTTAGAGTTTAAAATATTTGCAGGTATGGATGCCCAAGTGGCTTATGGCTTTCATCACCTGCGTAACGAAAAACCTTACCTCGCCCAAGGACCAATAGCAAATAAGGTATTGATTGTTAAATGTATGGAGTTGTTCAATGCATTTTTTATATACTATGTTCCTTAATACCTGGTTACTTTTGTTAAAAAATGAGAATAGAAAGACTTGTTGCAAAATTAATATGCATGCACTACATATCCTATCCTTTGGCCTATTTCCTCTAAACTATGTAATCAATTTAGTCCCTGAATTGGCGGAATTTTCATATAATTTAAGGGTTAAATGGATGAATTTCACATAGTTTAGGGATTACTTATTATATTTTTATAGTTTAGAGCCGATGACTTATGTAAAAAGTTAACAGACACATACTGTTAAATTTAGTAATAAAAAATATTTAGAAAGTTTTCTTTTTTACATTGTTTGGGTATTAGAAAATGAAATGAAAACGTCTTGTACATTTGATTGATCCATTCGATTGTGAAAGTAAAGCTGAATCTCCAAGCTCTCTCTTTCAATGGCTTCTATTATTGTATTGCATGTAGTAGTTTGGGTTGCTTTGGCGACCGGAGAAGATTGAATAAAGCACAAAAGTGCCAAATCAACCTGAGAATGCTCTTTATACTTGACAAAAATTATGACATTTTATGATGAGATAGAGGGAGTATCTTTTTCTGTGACAATAATTCCCGAGTGAAAGGGATCAGCATGTGTTGTTTTACCCACCAGATTTGACTATCTTGTTTAGGAGATATTCATATTTACTAGTTTTCTTAGTGCTTTATTGATATTCAAACTTTTTTCATTTATAATAATGATGTCATAAATTTTACTTGAACAATTTGTCTTGCATTTTGGTGCAGATTATATATTCTGGTTATACTTGTACTCAGGGTTGGTTCTTCACACCCTGCACAAGTGACCCAGGTTTTAGGTATGAAATATTTTTAAGATGAATTAGTATGTTATGTTGCCTTTTGATTTTTCTATAAGATAACAAATCTTGTGTTCATATTTTTGTGTCTTCCTTCCTCTTATTCAAAGTGACATTGAGGGTTTAAGCTTTGTTTGGCTATTCTGATAACTAGTCTAATTAATGATCAAATGTTTGGTATTAGGGGACTTAAGAACATTCTGCGGATGCATGTCAAAAAGATCAATAGCTCTGAATGGGAGCTGGTTCCAGTTCCTACTAGGTATCATATACTTTTTAATGGTGTGTATATTACTGTTTCTGTATTTGTTCAAGTGCAGTAAGTAACAGTCCTTGTAGCTCAAAGTTCGTCTTGATTTTTTTAATTATCAAGTTTACAAGTGTAGTAACAGTCCTTGTTGTTTTGGTTTGGTTTCAGTGTAAGGGCAGTAGTTGCTCTGAATCTTCATAGTTATGGAAGTGGAAGAAACCCATGGGGTACTCTGAAACCTGAATATTTGGAAAAGGTATGGGACTCTTGTTTCCTGCCATTATTTCTTTTCATCTTTATACCAATCACCATGTATTATTATTGAAGATAAAGCCATTGAAGATCAAACAATCAACATGTATTATTGATTTATGAATGTTTCTTCTTACTAGATGAGTTTAAAAACTCATGTATCTTTCTTTACAAATAAACCCTTTTTAATTAATTTTAGAGAGGCTTTGTTGAAGCTCGAGTTGATGATGGACTTTTGGAAATATTTGGTCTAAAGCAAGGATGGCATGCATCGTTTGTGATGGTTGAACTTATCTCTGCAAAGCACATAGCTCAGGTAACCAACCAACTACATGTTAATCAAACACGCAATTTGAATCTAACAGGATTCGAACCTGAGACCTGTTATAGTAATTACTAAGACATTGACTGTTTTTCAGGCAACAGCAATCCGGTTGGAAGTAAGAGGAGGGGAGTGGACAGATGCTTATATGCAAATGGATGGTGAACCTTGGAAACAACCATTGAGCAAAGATTTCTCGACATTCGTGGAAATAAGGAGGGAACCTTTCCAGTCACTTGTGATTAATGGAGAATGAATCATTGTTTCTATAAATGGGATTCATAATGTGCATACCAAATCTAATGTAAATTTATACGTCTTCTGATTAATACAAGAAAAAACATTCTTTTCACACATTGTCCCCAATTCTATATCCTCAAATTTTATCGTCTGCTTTGTTCATTGGAGAGAAATAAATGGGAAATGATATGATATAATATGACTTCTAGGGTTAACACTCTAGAACAAATATTTTCTAGTACTAAATTTCTCGTGCTGTCTTTTTTGAGGTATAAAGTGTATTCGTACAAAGATAGACGGCGGGTTTACAACTTCATATTCATGAGCTCCTTTCAAGGACTCCAGCTTGACCTAAAAGACATCAAAGCATTATAAGGTTTTCTTGTTGGTCTATCAGGTAAATAGGTAGTAGTGAAGGGTCACATAATGCTTGAAACGACATTTGACTCAAAGGCAAGTGCGAGAACAATTAAATTAAAATATCTCTTGGTGGACGCCCTCAACTTGCTGGGGGCAATCTTGTCTACCTTTCATTTGAGCTTGAAGTATTTGTTACCTGACGAACAAGTTGGATTAGGTCAGGAGACCAGAAGGTTGCCCAAGAATGCTATCATAACAACTTGGAAATGAAAAGGGAGCATGTTGCCATATACGTTGCCCCTCATCCATAAATATAAGGTAGAAGTCACAAGTAGGGACCCTATATTGGAGACCGAAAACGAAAGGCTCACACCTACAGAGGACTTGAAGGAAGTTTGGATTGAGTCATTGGACCATCAAGTCACCTAGCTAGGCTCCTCATTATTTGATTATGAGGAGGAAGAGTTGGTCGCCCTATTAAGTAAGAACATAAACTTTTTTCCTATAATAGATACAAGAGTGGTCTTCCATTGTCTCGCCATTGATTCCACAGTGAAGTCAGTGTCTTAGAGAATACACAAAGTAGGCGAGAAGAAGAGAGCGGTCGTTGATGAAGAAGTTCAGAAGCTGAAAAGCACCGATTTTATAACTGTGGTAAAATAACCATCTTGGTTGGCTAACATAATTTTGGCGAGGAAGTCATCAAACAAATGGTTCATGTGTGTCGAATTCACTGACCTTAACGATGCACTACCAAAAGATTCATATCCCTTATCCAACATAGATCGTCTGATTGACTAATCCTCAAGCTACAAAATATTGAGTTTCAAGGTTGCCTATTCTGACAAAAATCAAATCAAGATGGATCCTGGAGATGCGTCCAAGATAGCATTCATGTCTAATCATGACAACTCTTACTACAACATCATTCCCTTTGGGCTAAAGAATGTAGGCGCGACCTATCAAAGACTCATAGATGTGATATTCTCAAAGCATATATGGTGCAACCTGGAAGTTTATATCGATGACATGATCAGGGAAGAGTCCCACTACAGACCTTGAAGACACCGCCTAATCATTTGGGAACTATAATATGCACCTAAATCCCGTTGAGTGCTACTTTGGCATACAAGCGGACAAGTTTCTAAGTTTCATGTTGATAAGAGAGGTATAGAGGTGAACTCAGATAAGTATCATACCATCATCATCAACATGAGAATCCCTTTTAAAATTTAAAGAGGTTCAAAAATTAATAGGGTGCTTAGCTGCCTTATCTCATTTTCTTTCTTTGCCACTTTGAAAAAAAAGAGAACTTTAAACGGATGAGCGGGTGCGAGGATGCGATCGCAAACTTAAAATCTTTCCTAGTGTTGATGCCCATTTTGGTACACCCAATAACATGCTCACCCCTCTACCTCTACAGGCGTTGTTATGTAGCGTGTGGTTGTATATGCGGTACTTATAATCACAGTTCAGTGACCGTCGTAGTAAACTGGAAAACGCGCGCCTTATAACAATAGTTATTCCTATTAACTGTTGTGATATTGTATATGAATAAATGTCAACCGTGTCATACCAAAATCAACACTAAACCATTTGTGAATTGATATCAAAACTTATATTATAAGTACACAATTCTATTAAGTACATCAAAATTTGAACAGCTCGAGGTATGCAATCTTTCCAACTTCCAAGAGAAGAGAAAGCGTATAGAATTAAAGAAACAATAATGAGAAGCTTTGGTTTTTAAACTTCCAAAACAAGAGGATGAAGAATCAGAAGAAACAATATAAAAGCGGAAGAACAAAAAAAACAACTTCATCCAAAGGAATCAACATGTGTTATCCTGCTCAAGCTACCAACAATGTTGAGAATCAAAATGTTGTTGTAGAGGGTGTTATGGTGCAAAACCAACCTCGTAATCAAGATGTTATTGTAGAGGGTGTTGTGGTGCAAAACCATCCTCATATTCAAGATGTTGTTGTAGAGGGTGTTATATTTAGACTAATGAGAGCTCTCAGGGTGAGGAGAAGAAGAAGAAGAAGAAGGTTGAGAAGGAAAATGATGATTTTTTTGGATTCTAATGATGATGATGAGGATGACTATGATTGTTCTAACTTTATCTCAGCGAAAGGATTTAGATTTGATTATGGTTTTTGATCATGTAATAAAAGTTTTATGTAATGAAGTTTTAGTCTTTCTGATTAACTCTCTTAATGTTATCAACTTAAACGTTCAACTTAAACTATCAACATAAACTATCTTCTTAAACTACAAAATATATAAAATATATAATTGTAATTGAAAATTCAACAGTTTGCGATGAACTTACTGGTATGAAATCGTATGTTAGTTGCATTCATGTCAAGTTCACTGCATCTTTAACTATTACACTTCATAACAAAGTAAATATTAAACATAAAGGAGATAAGAAAACATAACATTTTCAAATTTCAAACCCTACTTCAACTATTACATTTCATAATAAAGTAAACATTAAACATAAAGGAGATAAGAAAACATAACATCTTCAAATTTCCAAAAAATCTCTCTGACTTCTGTTTATTATTCAAATCTTGTTCTTATTTTTTGAATCTTCATACATAACCTTCAAATAGCCAACAACTTCCAACTCTGAAATCATATTACTCACATCTTCATTTCCAAATTTTTCTCCAGTGTCTTCATCCCATATGAACAAATTACATGTTTCATCACTCCTCCAAAAGGGACATCTCCAAACAAACCTTCCTTTATTTTATCTCTTCTTTCATTGGCACGAAACCATACGACTATCACAACCACAAAAATTTCCAGATCAAGATTTTACAGTGGAAGAAGACATAGTAACACCTTTGGATGAGTTTTTCTTCAAATGTGAAATTCAAACAAAACTGAACAACAACAATGAGTGGGGGTGTTGTTGTCTTCTTCCTGATAATGTAGACTATGTTGGTGTTAGGTTTATTTCTTTTATCAGTGGAAAATGGATACTTAGTGTTTAATATATATATATATATATATATATATATATATATATATATATATATATATATATATATATATATATATATATATATATATATATATATATATATATATATATATATATATATATATATATATATATATATATATATATATATATATATATATATATATATATATATATATATATATATATATATATAAAGAAGGGCCAGTGTGTAACAACAATTTTACAAAAGCGCTGTAGTGATATCCCTATTATTTTTTAATTAAATATAAATATAATTGAAAATGCATGTGTTGTACCCTAAAATTCTCCCTCCCATTTCTGAAGTCAATTGATTCAAGACACCTCCTCATGCTTATAGGGTTGTCAATTGCTCAAGAATACTCAAGGGTTTAAGCATACAAGCATCTCTCCTAAGCAATGGCCTACAATTAGGGTTTTATATTTCTCAAAGATAATTGAGTTTTTAATGCCTCAAGTGAGTTTCATGGTTCCTCATATGCTTCAAGGTACCCTCATGACAAGTTTCAAGCCCTGCATCACAAGTTTTCTCAATCAATTGCTCAGATGATTGAAAATCAACTGTATTGGACAAAAAGTCAACCGTGGTCAACATACAATCAAATTTTAAGATTTTTTGGTCAACATCAACATTTTTGAATTCATATTCATCATTTGATCAAGGGTTGATCATGATTCATCAAGAAAACTCTCAATTCATCAAAAGTCAAAAGTCACTAAGTTAGAGTTTTCTTAAGGAGAAGTCAAATGAACTTTGATCAAGCATAACTTTTACATGCTTCATCATATTTTTCTAAACCAAAGTTCACATTGAAGGAAATTCAATTCTCTATAACTCTGTCTATCTAAGCTCAAGTCCAAAAAATGCTTCATTTGAGAGATATGGGCCAAAACATTATAGGTCATTTCAGAAGTCAACAAAAATATACCTTTTTTCAAGGCAACTTACATCAAGATAAATTCTTCAGATGAAAATATGATCAACATAGATATTGTAGGGGACATCTTGAGATTTTCAAAAAGTCCTAGATCACCTTCATATAATAAAAATTGAAGGAGTTATGTTTGGTGCAAGTTGAGCAATTTTTGAGAAATGCATGAAACCTCAATTGAGCAATTTTGAAATTTTAGGCTAATGGGCTTAACTTTTGAGGTTCAAACATGTTTATGACATGTTAGAGGACTTATAAATAATTTGGTACATGGAAATGCTTTTTTATTTAATTTATTTTAATTTTATGTAAATATTATTAAAATAAATCAAATCAAATAATAAACTAATGGGCTAAGACATGTGGGCTTGGTGTTGGATCAGCTTGAGGCCCAAGGAACACATGACAAATATGCCAAAACCGGGTGACACTCTTATGGAAGCATATCCTCGTTGTTTTGGAAAGATTTCAATTTGTCTTTTAAAATTAATTATACCATAAGTATGCAAGATTCTTTCCATGTTTTGTTGGTCTATTCCTTCCTTTATAAATACACACAACACTTAGATGCAAAGGACACGAAAAATTGGCAAGAGCATACAGTTTCAAAGAGAAAATTTTTTAACTTTGCTTCATATTCAGTTCTCAAATTCTAAGCAACTTCAAAGCGATTCAAGGTCTACAGTCACTTCTTGAAGGTCTGAGAAA